CTTGTCCTGGTGGCAAAACCAGTCCCCTGTCGGCCACAAAATTGGTCTTTTTTTTTTTTGGTCGCACACTGTCATGTAATTTTTTCAGAACCTCTAAATAGAGAGCTTTATTAACACCCTGACCAGGTGGAACAAACTCCAAATGCACTCCGAGTTGACATTTTCACCCATTCAGGAAGTTGACAGACATCCAGAACGAGGTTTGTCATCAATGGACATCTCACCTTTTTTTGAAACAAGAAAACCACGCGTCCACTTTTAAGCTAAGTTCCCAGTCTCCCCAGTGGCGGTGACATTATCCTGAGCAGGAAACACGATTTTACAGCCGAGCGCTGTTCTCTTCCATCGGCCATCACCACAAAACAAGGCTCCAGCGAAACTGCTTTTACAAAAAATGTCCCTGTGACCAGAGAGAATCTGAGCGGAGCTTTTTCCTGGTTTTAGGGGCAGGGGGTGGTCCTGGTACACCAACTGAACATGTTTCACGTTTACAAGCCAGGGCCGCGGATGGCCTCCTTCAGCTGGGGCAGCTGCGCCTCTCTGCCTTTGCTGAGTTGTCCTTCCTGCAGAGAGCGGGTCCGCACTGCCCCGCGAAGGTTCCTGTCTCCTCTGTTGAACTGCTGAGGTCTACTCTGGCCTCTGTAGGAAGTTCTTAAGCCCGTTGCTCAGGGCAGACGTGTCCTCTCTTTCTGTAAGAGACACAGGAAGGAAGAAGGGTGCCGCCGTTGGCTGGTCTGTCTGCTGTCACAGAAACACCACGCCTGGGTGCCTTTAACAAATACCTGTTTTCTCAGGGTTTAGAAGACGGATGTCTGAATTCAGAGCACCAGCTCTAGGGGAAAGTTTTCTCATTCTCTAAACTCTGGAGGGAGGCCCTTGTCTCTTTCCAACATCTGTGCGCCCCGAATTCTTTGGGGATCTCCGTGGATCTCAGAGTCAATCTTCCCCAGGGTCTAGGAGGTTCTCAGTGCAGGGACCTTGGGTCCAAAGGACTCTCTCGACTTCCTGGGCGGTAGTTAGGACCCTCTGTTTAATCTCTTCTATATCTCAAAAGAGATTAATTCAAGACGAAACCTAACCCTAATTGGCAACGATGATACCCTGCCGGGTGCCAAGAACTACAAGAGCCAAGGCAGGAGTGGCTGGCCAGAGCCACTGGAGCCAAGTCCCCGAGTCTGGGCCTCCCTTTGAAGGGGCAGGTGACAGACTATTTGCCCTTTTTCACGGAGCAGCTCAGGGTATACCTCTGCTCTGCGTCATGAGAGAGATGATGATGGGGAGGAAAAGGCGACAGTGACTGAAGAACAGGGAGCTCCCTGTAGGCATGGCCCCTGCTTCAGGCATGTGATCCAGGGAAGAGACTTCCTCTGAGGGGCCACTTGGCCTTTTGTCTTTTTCCCCATTGGTAAACGC